GGTATAAAGCAGGAACAATTATGGGGAGTACATAAATTGTGTTCTTCATTACATATATACACACAGTACAAAACTAAACTCAATAATCAAAAGTGTAAAGGGCTTACACTGGACAAACTCACCTGCTCGAACTTCCTTGATTGGACTTAACTCACATGCCAAACTTCCTTGGTGCTGGATAGAATTGGGCATATAAGAGAAAATGAAAGTTAGAGTGGCTCTCTAGGAGAGAGGGAGTACTAATAGGGTGATAAAGAAGAAGAGAGGGAGTAATATGCCTATGAATATGGTGGAATAGAGTGGATCTGCCCGAATGGAGTACGAGCAAGTAGAGATGAATGAAAAAGAGAGGATGGGGAGCAAGGAGAGAAGGAAGAGTCAGTGAGTGCGCCTTTGAGAAATGAGAGTTGCTCAGTTTGCCTTCAAGTCAACCCTGCGATGAAATCACCTCGCTATCAGTTTTGGCAAGTTGAAATCGACATTGTGAGAGGTATGGATTTGGCACTGCGGGTCACTGCCTTTTCACGCCCGCATGAGCGTGTTCATGGCTCGATTCATAGCTATCGCGGTGGTCGTGAACCTCTCGGCAATTTTATTCTCAATTCATCAAGTTGAGAATTCCCATCCTAATATTCACGATTAGGATCATGCCCATGAGAAAGCTCGTGAGAAGGACGGGATGGCCCGCGAAAGCCAGTCACATGCATATTATGAGTGAGTGAAAGAACTTTTGTGTGTGCATTTGCACATAAAATTCAAATCTCGAGTAATGCCACACACCTAAAGCAAATACAAAGTCAATCATACTTTGAATTTATGGTCTCCGTGTTGATACATGATCTAAGGGAGGCTAGTATATGGGCTATGAAGGATGTCCTTGTCATGAAATTTGGATCCATCTTAAAAGAAAACGTATGAAGTGGTGCATCCTACCGTTCTTTGTGAGTTCTCAAACTTCTCCTCAAAGAAGGAGTTTTCTACGCTTAAAAGCAAAAATATTAGGTCGATATCCTACCACATACATTCTACATCAATAGACGATACTGTCGTAAATAATGTGTGGGGTAAAAGCCAAGTGTGAGGCTTCACATCCTAGGGAAAAAACCAGGCTTTGAAAGAGATACTATGATATAAGCCGAGGCTCTAACTCCTGGACTTAAACAATCAGAATACGCAGCAAAGTTCGATTAGCAAAACAAAGAGCAAAAGGGCGGAAAATAAATCAAACCAAAGCCAAAACTGGGCAGAGGGCCAAGTATACAAAGTGATTCCACAACTAGGGTGATGAGCTATTTGATAATGTCGGTTTCTTCTAGATGGCTCGATTCCACGAACAGAATAAGAAGGATAAAAGAGTTTCAAGAATGAACTCTCAAATAAGGGTTTTTTTTCATTGATCAAAAGTTGTTCAGCCCATAGGCATAACACCCTCTATTTATAGAGGTTACACAATTAAGAAGGAAACAAATAGTAGTTAAAGAAGGAAACAAATATCCCACATATTGTTTTTTATGCTAATGGAAGATTCTTAGCCACTAATTATTCCCTTTCCATGTTTGGCCAACTTGGACATCAAGAATGTCCTTTTTTCTCTTCTTGGATGCAGCTTAAATTGAGCTCTTGGGCATGTCCAACTCCTACGTCGAGCACCTCTTGGTCACTTGGACTCTTCTCTTTGCCTTCTCGAGCTTCTAAAGCCTTCATCTTCGGACCACGATTGTTGTATGTTCTTCGAACTCAAGGGACATCTTGTGAGGTAGCCAGGGTTGCATCATACTAGTAAAGTCTTGGTGGGGGAGGCCTATGAGATTATGCTAGTTTCTCTCTAGTATAGGTACAATTTCCACCCGTATGATAGGATCGCCAACTTAAGGATGTGTTTTCAAGGGTAAGGATAAAGCTTCCGACATCTCTTGACTTTATTGGCCCATCGCATGATTGAGGAAAATGAGCTAAAAAGCACTCTTGCTTGACTAGGTTTTCTAAGTACCAAAGTACAAGGCGCAAACGCCCTTATGCATATAAAGAAGCACAAAAAGTGTTGTGTAGTGTGGCAATATTGTCTTAATACGAAAACACCCAAAATGATTATCTGGGTAGGAGTACAAACTACATAGGCTTCTCCCCCCAATATTCGTAAAAGACGACTCAAGGGAGAATAAGAGAACTCCATCTCGTGAGATGCAAATCATTTCCTTCTTATGATGTACATTTGAGCATCATTGCCGAAATCAAGGGTTTCTAAGTGCAAAGGTTGACCTTGAGAAACTCCCTATGATCAACTACCTAAGATCGGAAGTCACCTGTCATCGTGAAGATTTAGTAAGGAGAAGGATGTCGATGCTAGATTTGCTTGGGGACAAACAAAGTTCAAGTGTGGGGTTATTTGACGACACGTGAAAGTATCTATGCTATACTCATCTATTGTGACCCAAAATGCATACATTTCTCATCATTAATGTCATAATACATTGAATTATTGATGTGATTGCTTCAAGTGTGTTCTAGAAACCCTAGGATTGATTTTGTACTATTAATGCGCTCTTGGTAGCATTTTGTGCATTTTCAGGTCTAAGCAGCCTAGTAGGCCACTTGGAAGCCATAGGGGACATTGAGCCCAATTTGCTTTGAGCAAGGATTTGAAGATCGGACGCCAAGGAAAAAAGGTGCCAGCGACGCCATTTAAGTGAAGGCACCAGTGTCGTGTTTGGAAAATCGTCCACTTCGTTAGGAAAATATCCCTGAGCATCCTGATTCGCAAGCCACGTGTTTGGAGCGCTCTGATTGACCAAATGATGGAGAAGGGGCAATTGTTCCTCCTTAGAAAGCCTAATTGAAGATATATAGATAAGGGTTTAGAGCTAGAGTTCAGGAGAGGGGAGAAGCGAGAGGCGAGAGGTCAAGGAAGGGTCATTACTCTGACGATAAAGCAACCTTCCAGACTTAGAGCGATACCACATACAAGGGAGACTCGGTGGCAAAATTGGCTCCCAAGGCCTGATTTCTCTGTTTTAGCCGCCGATTCTTGTGGGCTGTTGGAGTCTTCGTTTCCATCGATGAACATCCAGGAAACCCTCCCTATGGCTGGCAAAGTTCCTTAGTTGCGTAGGTATTTGAACCTTAGGGGTTCTAACCATGTACACTCAATGATTTGGTTAATACGATTGTTTGATTTTCAGATGTGTCATGCGTGATTTCCTCTATTTTGTTATTGTTGATTCGAATAATTGCTTAGTTGACCTTGCACTCCTTCCAGGTGCAAGGATCGAAATCCTAGTCGTTTAGAATGAGTCTAGAAATAGCAGTCCTACTCGACCAAACCTCATTCGATCGAACATTTTGACGCCTCAATGAAGAAATTCGAAGGGTCATTCTCGCCCATTACTTTGCCTAAATGCTTCGACATAAGGTGTGATCTAACAAAATAAGAAATCAGCAGCTCGTATGCTCCGATCATCGATGGTGTGTGGTTAGGAGACCTAGGGGAAACATTGCCTATGCAACGCTTTCCTTCTCTGCTCTCTCACTTCTCCAATAGTGTATATTTACTTTTCTGCACCGCTTTACTTTTTATACTCCTAAGTTCCGATGCCTCAAGATGAATCCATAGAAGGAAAAAATGTACCAAATATGCAATGATGAACACAATAATTTGAGCGTCACCAAACATCCCCATCAGACGCTGCAGCTCATAAGATCTCGCAAGGGAGCCTTGACTGAACCTTTACTGCAGATCAAGCCAAATTTAATGTAACATTTTTGCATACCTAACACTGGTGTAAATTTATTTTGTTTTGGTTGTCTTCAGCCATCCCTTGACTAGAGCATCATAGCAGAAGCAAGCATCCAAAGCTCTCCATCTTCAGGTTTCTTAGCTACTTCAGTAACAAAGCCTAACTTGTTCTTTGTCGTTAGAACTTCTATAATATCAACTACTCATTCACCATAACTCACATTTGTGAGAGCCTCCCCCACATACATCTATTTAGGGCTATCATATGAATGTTGATGAAAGAGAGAAGATACGAGATAAACCTTGTAACCGTAGCTTTTGTCAGAGCCATCATTGGCGGTGCTTTCCAAATTCCTCGTCGATCTTTGAAACCATAACTTCAGCGTGCTAATCCATAAATATCTTCATCAAAACTCCGATACCATGATAAAACTAATGAATGAAAGAAAAAAAAAGAACACATGCTTTTACGTGGGTTTCCTGTTCATGAGAACTAGACTACTCCATGAAAAAATCCGCAAGGAGCTTTCAGTTTTCTCTTATTGGTATTTTTGTATCTTGGGAGATGAAGATACAGTTTCTAAACAACAAGAGAACATATAAATATAATAGCAGTAGTTAGGTTGGGACTCATTAACCAATAACCAAAGAACACAAATAAGGAAATAAACTTCAAATCCTAAAATCCGGATGAATGCCACTGCTTGGCCTTCGATTTCACGACCTAGGCCATGATTTTTCATTCCTGCCCGTGACATTCCCAAAACATGCAGAAGGAATAGAGAATGTCACAGCTCAAGTTTGGATGTCACGGTCTAGGGCTTGACTTTTCATTCCAACCCGTAACATTCCCAAAACTGACAAATGAAACAGAAGATGTCACGTACTAGACCTGAATGTCATGTCCAGGCCGTGACATCTCCTTCTCTGTCGTAACATTCATTTGATCGTGACAATGACCCTCCTTCAATAAACTACGATGAGTTTAGTGAGTTAAACCTGTTAACTTTTTTCAAAAATCCTAATCGACAAGCTGAGCTTCGTGTGGGTTAGACGTGTTGGTGGAGGAGGATTGAATTTCCAAATCCCTATCCTTGCCCACTATTGCATTTCAGACCCTTCCGAATAATGATATAATATAAAACTGTCTTGAATCATAATTTATTTATAGTCCATACATGTAAAATCGAAGTGATAATAACGATCACATTTTAAAGTGATTGAAACAAATGATTCATGGGGAAACATAGTTAACTAACTATCCCATTCATCTACTATGCAACATGTCCCTAATTGATTGCAGCTTTCCAATGGCATCGGCCATGTTCATTCGCTCACCGGCTGATTCAATAGAGCAACCAACTCCAACTTCAAGTATCGCTATCAAACAATTTTGTATCTTCTCCATCCTTTTTCCCCTATTCCTTCTCCCTCTTTCATCATCATCTTGTGCCTCCTCACCTAGAAGAATTGGGTCCACATTCGAGACAAGTTTTCCTGGAGAATCAACATCCTTAACAAAATCATGGAGATTCAAACCCTCCCTAAACATTTCATCCGTAGGTCTCTTCCTCGTAAACATTTCCAACACAAGGACTCCAAAACTGTATACATCTCCTTTGGTTGACACCTCCGACCCCAGCCCATACTCTGCAATTTTATAAATGCATTGTTACACAACATTGCATGGTATTTATTATGCAATGTTGTACTACACAAGTTCAACACAAGTCAACCCAAATTATAAATTCTCTAACCAAAATCCATTTATACCAAAATTCATTTATAGGGTTTGAAGGGTTTCAAAAATAATTATATGGACCCGTAATCTTTTTAAACTTTACATTATAGCACCCAAACTTCATTGATGTGCAAGAAATGCAAAAACAAACAACTTCAACTTACTTAAGTGGTTTAGACTTTCATTTTATTACCGAAACAATCATCAATCTGAAAACTTGGACTAAATTTTAAATCTAAATGTTATGTTAAATTCGGGGTCGTTTGGAAGTTGTGATTGTTAGAGTTGTGTTTGTTGAATACATGTATTGTGCACAATACAATGTTTTGAAGTGTCAAAGAGTTAAACAATGCATGCATTGTTTTAGGTAGGTCCCACCAACAATCACAAAAAATGATGCATTATACAATCTCAACTTTTAGTTGAGATTGTTGGTTTTAGATTTGTATCAACTTTTTCTTTCCATTTATATCCCCAATAGTTTTTGTCTTATTCTAAAAGTTGAGGGTAAATGTGGCATTTTCCCATAAAAGTAACTTTATGTTAATCAATGCATAATGTAGAATCTCAACAACCAAACAATGTATTGTTAAAATGCATCCATTGTATCAATACATGCATTTATATTATGGTGATTCATTAAGATAACTACCTTTTCACTATTAAAAAAATAATTCACCTCTGTCATTTCATGCCCTATTCGAATATCGTACCACCTTTGTTTTCGGAACCGTACCGAAAGTTGAACAGGAAAATTTAGTGGTTTAGGGTTCAATGGTTAATCGTTACAAAACCGTTGATAGAACCATTCATGATATATAACATACTTGACTTGTAACTTACACTAATTTAAGAATGAAGTTATCATTGATCATAAATAAATTTAAATTCATATCATTACCAAAATATCTAATAAATCATTGAAACCGTCTCACTGAAGAAATCATAAGTTTTTTAATTCAAGTTCAAAATTATGGCGCCAGTTGGTAGTGGATCACTTTTACGACAACAAGGTTGAAAATGAGAAGACGTATATAAAATAAATAACCATGACTTGATGGTTTTAGTTTACGTTAAAGTATTATTTTAAAAAACTTTTTGTGCTTAAAATAGTTAACTAGTGAACTAGTTAAACTGCGGTGGTTCATCTGGTTTTATGTTGAACCGTGAAAAATTGTTTGGTCTATCAATAACTGTCCAAACAATGAACCGAGCTGCTATAATAACTGGTTTGACAGCTCTACTGGCCCAACCGTTGATCTGCTTCAGTTCTTATAAGAATGTCTACCACCCTTAAACCTAAAAATGACCAGAATGCTCTAAATAAGTACCTTAAAAAATTCCATGAGAATATTGTTGATTATATTCTATTTAAACCCATCTCATTTGACACCTCTACTTGAAAGTTGTATTATATTATTACTATGAGAATTGTTATTTTTTTTGTAAAACGAGTTTGCATTTACCTGGAGCAACATAACCGACAGTGCCTTTCATGCCAGAAGTAGTTGTAGTTGCATTCCCTTGCGAGACTGGCTCCAATAGAAGTCTGGCCTGACCAAAATCGCTCACGTGGCCCACCATGTCACCATCTAGCAAAACGTTGCTAGGCTTGAGATCGCAATGAAGTATCGTTGTTTCACAAAGATAATGAAGATAGTGAACAGCATATGCCACATCTATTGCAATGTTGAGCCTTTTGACAAGGCTAAGGTTGCTCTGGGATTGTTGTTGTCGTTGGTTATGGAGCCAATCCTCCAAGCTTCCATTCTCCATATACTCCAGTGGGATTTCTCCTGTTAAGTTATTGCGAGAAACATCTAGTTCCATGAGACCTTTCAAGGAACCGAATGATCGAGGAACTATCCCATCAAAGAAATTCCCCTGCATAAAAACATGCTCCATGCTCTTGCAGTTCCCAATCTATCAAGTGAATTGGAAGAAGAAGATGTCCTGCAGAAGTGAAGAAGGATGAAGAACAGAAGACTCTGCAGGTTTGAACGAAGAAGAAACCTCACCCAGAAACGAAACGTTTCTGGGTTCCCTCCACTCAACTTAGACGAAGAGGCAAAGCGGCGTCGTTGTGGAGTCTCGGGTTTTACCGTTGAGTGGCGAATGGAGAGAAGACAGGTGTCATTTACTTTACAGTCAATTTGAATTTCTGTTTAGTTTTTCTTTCCTTCTGGTTTTGTAACGTGAAGAACACAATACAGACTGATATATAAATCAAATGCAGAGAACAATGATTCTCTTGCGCGTTCCCCATTTCTGTGCCGCATTCTTCTTCCTTCTCTTAACCCTAGCTCAGCTAGTTTGATATGGTATCAGAGCGGTTACTGATCCAGTAACCTTCCATGGCGACTCACAACAATACTCCGCCTGGCACTCCTGGAGGCATTCCTTTCGGCTCTTTTTCTGGAATGAGCTCTGGTGTAGCAGGTGGATCTAACAACAACAACGAGCGCCCAGATCCCCAATTCGGTAACCCCTTCTATATCAACCCCAATGAGAACATCTCTCAAGCTATAGTCTCTGAAGTTCTTGATGGACCCAATTACCAAATGTGGCAGCGAGCCATGAGAATGGCACTCAAAACCAAACACAAAATTGGTTTTATCGATGGGTCCATCGTCTCTCCAGGAATAGGAAACCCTAATTACAGTACTTGGGATGCCTGTAACACTCTTGTATTGTGCTGGATTCTGAATTCTGTGGACAAGGAGATAAGGAGAAGTGTTATGCAACATGATGTTGCTCAGACTCTATGGGAAGAGCTTAAGGCTCGTTTTGGGTATGCTAATGCAATTAAATTGTCTAATCTGGGTGATCAAATTATTGCTTGCAAACAAGGAACTATGAATGTTACCCAATACTATACTGCTTTGAAAGGCCTGTGGGAGGAACATTTACAGTTCAACCCAATTGTGGACTGTAACTGTGCTCCTCAGAGGACTCAACCTTGTGCTGCAGTGGAGGCTTTCAAGCAGAAGCATGAGACAGATTACCTCATTAGGTTTTTGAAAGGTCTTCGCCCTGAGTTTGATGTAGTTCATACTCAGATTTTGATGATGAAACCATTGCCAACAGTAGAGGTAGCAATCAATGATGTACTGCAGCATGAACAAAAACTGAAGGCAGACAAAGGCATTACCAGGGGTGTTCAAACAGTTGCTTTGGCTGTACCAGGAGACAATTCTGATGAGAAAAAGTTCTGTCGTTATTGCAAGAAAGATGGTCATGTTAAGGATGAATGCTGGAAGCTGAAAAACAAAAAACTCAGGATGGCTGGAGGAGTAGCAGCTGCTGTTTCTCAAGGAGAGCATTCCAATGAGGGAGATTCAACTGGTTCAGAGTCTAAACACAGCTCAGACTCTAGAAGTGTCTCCTCAAAGGATAATCTCCATTTCTCACCTGAAGAGCTCAACAAGCTAAGGTATCTGCTGAAGACAGTTCCCTCACCTAGTCCATCACCACCAGCATCACCTTCAGTCAATCACCTGGCTTTCTCTGTTGCTCATAGCATGTCTCAATTCCCAACTCATGCTGGTAAGTTCATACTCTCATCTTTTATGCAACACAAGTCAGAACATCTTGCTCATACTTGGATCCTGGACACTGGGGCATCTGATCACATTGCTTGCAATATTGCATTGTTTGCTGAAGCTATGGCAGTTAAGGATCAGTTTGTCTATCTACCTAATGGGACTAAGGTTGTAGTTAGTCACATAGGAAAGGTTAATCTATCCCCATACCTTACCTTAGACAATGTTCTCCTTGTGCCAAGTTTTACTTTCAACCTCATCTCAGTTAGCAAACTTACAAATGATCAACCCATCTCACTACACTTTGAATCTGATGCTTGTCAAATTCAGGACCTGCTGACCCAGAAAAGGACTGGTTTGGCAAGGCAGAATAGAGGTCTATACCAATTGCATACCAAGGCTCATGCACCTCTTCTTTCTACTCCTCAAGCAGCCTTTACCTACAACTTTCTTCCACAAAATTTCCACCTCTGGCACTGGAGACTAGGGCACCCAGGCAAAGACAAAGAGAAACAGACATTACCTTGTAATAGAGATGTGGTTTCCCATTGTCAAATTTGTCATTATGCCAAACATAAAAGGCTTTCTTTCCCTGTAAGCACCAGTAGAGCAGAGGATGCTTTTGGTTTAGTTCATGTTGACATATGGGGGCCATTGGCTGTCAAGTCACATGAAGGTTTTTCCTATTTCCTAACAATTGTGGATGACTTTACAAGGGCTGTTTGGGTTTTCTTAATGAAACACAAGTCTGAAACTGGTCTTTTGTTGCAATCTTTTTGCACTATGGTTGAAAGGCAGTTTTCTAAGTCTGTTAAAGTTATCAGAAGTGATCAGGGTTCTGAGTTTCACATGGCTGAGTTCTATAGTGATAAGGGTATTGAACATCAACAGTCATGTGTGGAAACTCCAGAACAGAATGCCAGGGTTGAAAGGAAGCACCAACACATACTGAATGTAGCAAGAGCCCTTAGATTTCAATCTGGCATTCCTCTTAGGTTCTGGAGTGACTGTGTGTTGCATGCTGTATATTTGATTAACAGACTTCCTTCCACTGTTCTTGAGAATAAGTCTCCTTATGAGCTTTTGTATGGAAAAGCTCCAAATCTGAATGGTCTTAAGGTTTTTGGATCCCTTTGCTATGCTGCTTCTTTGCATAGGGATAGAACAAAATTTGATTCCAGGGCCAGGCAGTGTATATTCCTTGGTTTTCCAGCAGGGATTAAAGGGTCCAAGCTCTTTGATATCAATTCACACTCTTTCTTTGTTTCCAGAGATGTGATTTTCTATGAATCTATCTTACCTTTCCATTCTACCTCTTCATCTATTCCTACTGATGATTCCTTTTCCCCCATGACCACAGAGCCTATATTACCACACTTTCCTTCTACTTCTCAAACTCCTTCCACTTCTCAAACTCCTTCTATTCCCAAAAACATTCCTCACTCTCCACATCCATCTCCACTTCAGCCTGCAAACTCTACCACACCTGCTTCTTCTTCTACTAAATCTCCTTCTTCTTCAACACTGCCTGTTGCTTCTGAGGAGGTTACTCCTGCTGTCAGTTTGCATTCTGAGGGGGAGGATAGTGAGATTGATGTGTTTCCTGAGCAGAATGACACAGATGAGGCTGAATTTTTGAGAAAGTCAAGTAGACCTCATACTGTACCAGTTTGGCATAAAGATTATCATGTTAGCATGGCTGCATCAACTTCTAAACACCATATTAGTCATCAGGTTGGCTATGACCACTTGTCTGCTTCCCAAAGAGCTTTTGCTCTTAGTGTTCTGTCTGTACAAGAGCCCTCATCATATGCTGAGGCTTGTAAAGATCCTAGATGGAACCAAGCCTGTAAAGAGGAAATCTATGCCTTGTATGAAAATCAAACATGGGAATTGGTCAAGCTGCCACCAGGAAAGAAACCTATAGGTGCAAAATGGGTGTTTAAAGTGAAATACAAGTCTGATGGTACAATAGAGAGGTTTAAAGCAAGGCTAGTTGCTAAGGGTTATACCCAAATCTATGGGATTGATTTTCTTGACACCTATTCTCCAGTAGCAAAGATCAATTCAGTCAAAACTCTGTTAGCAGTGGCTGCCTCTAAGGATTGGCACATTCACCAGATGGATGTGTCCAATGCCTTTCTTCATGGAGACTTGGAGGAGGAAGTGTATTTGGAAATCCCACCTGGAGTTGATGTTCCTAAGGGTTCAGGGCTTGTTTTCAAGCTTAAGAAATCCTTATATGGCCTGAAACAGGCAAGCAGACAGTGGTTTGCAAAACTCACCAGTGCATTGTTGAAAAATGGTTATTCACAAACAGCTTCTGACTATTCAATGTTTGTGAGGTGGATTCAGGGAAGAGTGGTTGTGGTTCTTGTCTATGTTGATGACATCCTGATTGCTGGGAGTTATCTGGGGGACATAGAACAATTGAAGAAGTTCTTGAGTAAAGAATTCAAGGTTAAAGACCTTGGTCAACTGAGTTATTTCCTGGGACTGGAAGTGATGAGAGATCACAAGGGGATCACAGTCAGTCAAAGGAAATATTGTTTGGAATTGCTTGATGACACTGGTTTTGTAGAAGCAAAGGGTTGCTTGTCCCCTGTTGACTGCAATGTCAAGCTATCTGCAGAACAAGGAGAATTGATGGCAGATCCTGGTGTCTATAGGAGACTGATAGGAAGACTGCATTACCTGACCATTACAAGGCCTGATGTGGCTTATGCTGTTCAACAGCTGGCTCAATTTCAAGCTGCCCCTTGTGTTGAGCATTTACAAGCAGCACATAGAGTTATTAGATACTTAAAACAAACTCTTGGTCAAGGCTTGATTTTCAGGGCAGATTCAAAACTTGAATTATCTGGCTACTGTGATGCAGACTGGGCAAGTTGTCCAGATTCAAGGAGGTCTCTCACTGGCTACTGTACTTTCTTAGGGACTTCATTAATCACATGGAAGACTAAGAAACAGACTACAGTCTCTAGATCCTCCTCTGAAGCTGAATATAGAGCTTTGGCTCAGGTTGTGTGTGAAGTGCAGTGGCTAAGAAATCTCTTGACTGAAATGGGAGTTAAGGTACCTTTACCAATTCCTCTGTTTTGTGATAACAAATCTGCTATGCATATTGCTGAAAACCCCGTGTTTCATGAAAGGACGAAACACATTGAGATAGATTGCCATGTTACAAGAGAAAGGTTGAAATCTGGTTTGGTTAAACTGTTCCATGTAAGAACTGATGATCAAGTTGCAGATTTGTTCACGAAAGGCATGACTCGTTATGGACTAAAGTTCTTATTGGACAAGCTGGGAGTGTGTAATCCTTACTCGCCAGCTTGTGGGGGAGTATCAAGTGAATTGGAAGAAGAAGATGTCCTGCAGAAGTGAAGAAGGATGAAGAACAGAAGACTCTGCAGGTTTGAACGAAGAAGAAACCTCACCCAGAAACGAAACGTTTCTGGGTTCCCTCCACTCAACTTAGACGAAGAGGCAAAGCGGCGTCGTTGTGGAGTCTCGGGTTTTACCGTTGAGTGGACTATCACTGTGGCGAATGGAGAGAAGACAGGTGTCATTTACTTTACAGTCAATTTGAATTTCTGTTTAGTTTTTCTTTCCTTCTGGTTTTGTAACGTGAAGAACACAATAGAGACTGATATATAAATCAAATGCAGAGAACAATGATTCTCTTGCGCGTTCCCCATTTCTGTGCCGCATTCTTCTTCCTTCTCTTAACCCTAGCTCAGCTAGTTTGATACAACCGGATCGGGAATTTCGCCAATCAGATCATTGAATGAGATATCAATAGCATTCAAATCCTCCAAATTTCCTAACTCGGGCAACAGCTTGCCACCAAGTAAATTATGTGACAGGTTCAACACGTTAACTAACGAAGACAAGTTCATTACCTCTGCAGGTATTTCTCCGGTCAGTCTGTTTGCAGAGAAGTCGATGAAGCTCAAACTCTGACATTTCCCTAGACTCACGGGAATTCGACCTTCGATTCTATTTGCTGAGAGATCTAGTGAGACCAGTCGAGTCAGGTTTCCCATGGAGTTTGGGATTACACCTGACAAGTCATTACCGTGCAAGGTGAGTTCTTCCAAATTCTGGAGCTTGCCAACATAGGAAGGAATGTTGCCTTTCAGAAGGTTTAAAGGTAGATCGATCATAGTCAACCCAATTAGATTTTGTAGCGTGTCTCAGGAATAGAGGTGATATGGTTGACTCCGAGTAACAGATGTTTGAACTCGGTTGACGACAGGTTCCCAAAGATATCAGGAAGTGGGCCGCCAAAGTTGTTGATAGAGATCCCCCACCCGATGAATGAAGCTTAGTGCAATTCGTCAATGAGCCCAAGAAATGGAAATCGCCCGTCGAATTGTGACCGAGACTGTTTGCCGCCATGTCTACCCATAGGAGACGTCCCGAATTGCCTAGGCAATTCGGGATCCTGCCGAAGAAATGATTCATATTCATGTTCACGTCCTCAAGGTGAGAAGCATTGCAGAATGACTCAGGGATCGTCCCAACCAGATTGTTCCCCGACACTCCGAATGCTTCCAGGTTAGGCAGAGTGTTTGCCAATGTTCTCTGGCAAGCTGCCTTGCAGTTGGTTGTAGTAAACGTGATGGAGCGGATGGAAGACAGGTTGTAAAGAGAAGGAGGGATTTCGCCAGAGAGGTTGTTGATCCCCATTGTAATGGAGCTCATTTTCCTGAGCCGTCCAAAGCTGTCAGGAATTCGACCCACCAAATTGCTATACGAAGCAACCAGTTGCAGAAATGGAAGGAATCGTTCCAGGAGTCGAGGAATCCGTTCGGGTCGTTCGTTATCGCGTTCTTGAGTTTCCAGCAACGCCGATCGTTGTTGCCGGAAGACAAGCTGAAGGAGAAGGAGAAGTAGTAGAGGAGGATGAACTTGATTAAAGAAGAACATGGTGAGCTCTCTCCTGCACGCTTCATTGTTGGGTTTGGTAAACGCCCAGGAAACAGGACAATTAAGCGCTGTAAAAAGACACAGAGAGTTTCAAGATATGTGCGTATTACTCTGCTGGTGGTGGTTTAAATTGGAGGCAGAGTTCATTGAATTTGTGTTGGAATGCTAAATATATCAAAACCTCAAGTGGGTTGGTAGTCGTCATGCGAGAAACCTACTCTGGAGTTGACAACAAAGTTTGCAGTAAGCAAGAGGATACAAAAAAAAGAGGACCAATGGCAATTACAAAACTAATGTTGACGGCGTATTCGGACCGCAAATAGGTTGTTATTGAAGTTGAATCAGAGGTGGCTATTCGTCAACTCTAACTCAAGTCCTGCAACCCAAAATTCACTCCCGCATCCTCAAAATCCTGCAACCCCAAATCGCTTCCGCATCTCCAATCGCGCCCGTATCTCCAATAGATGGTTCATGATCCGTGGGGATCTGTGGGTTACCCGAATCCGTTTGCGGATGGGAACGGGAGACATAATCCCCCCGTTTAACCTGCTGTTTCGTTGGCGAAACTCGTGTGTTAACTGCGCACGGTTTTCAAGAAAAACACAAAACACACGTCAATCACAACCGTCAAATATCCGCCGCCGAATGTCGGCGCCGTTGATTTGATCGATTAAAGAAGAAACCAAGACGATCGTCAAATGGCCCCCGCCGGTGTCGGCGTCGTTGATTTGATCGATGCACCTTTGACCTCTAATCAAACAATCGTACTCGGTTCACCACCTCTCCAAACTACGTTCGAACGAGGGTGTTCAACGAGAAACGAGAAACCAAACCAAGAGTGTTCTAAGTTACGTTACCTCTACTCCTATGGAGGTTCCTCTGGAGAGCTCCGCAACTACGACTACGATCTACGACTACTACGACTCTGCAAAGGAGGTCTTTGACAGAGCGGTTCTACGAAAACTAGAGAGAAAAACTGATAATCTGCGACGGTGCAGTTTGTGATTTGATTTTGCCGTCCCGAACTTCTCTCTCTTCCCAATCTTTATACTTCGCGCTTCTTCTCGTCGTAGTAACTGCCTTCGCGCCTTTGTCTCCCACGTCTTCACTCCTGTCAACCGTGCAGGTAACTTCCTCTTTGTTGCGTGATAATCACGTGCCCTCGAAACCGCTCTTGCTTTGCAGAAACTCGGCGAAACGACCTACAACCTTATCCATGTAACGATGTCGTTTCACCAACACCACGGCATCGCCTTTCACCAACCGGTGTCGTTTCATAATCCAACTCAATTGCCCCGACCCGGTTTAACTAACGACATTGTTAATCCATCAAACAACGTCGTTCTCTACTCTTGCGCCATCGTTGGGCTTGGCGGGCTGCCTTTGGCCGAACTCTTACCACTACCACGATGTCGTTTTACTTTTCCGCAGCATCGCTTTTCATTAAACGACACCGTCTAAAATAGTAATAAAATACTAATTAATTAAACCAGCCCTCATTGTTAACTCGCCGTCAAACTCTCACCCCTCGGCGTCGTTCTCAGTTAAACAACATCGTTTCCTTGTCCCGCGATGTCGTTGAACTTTTGAGCTTCGCGACACTGTTTTAATTTTAACAATGTCGTTTTAACTGTTGCGGCATCGTTTGGCCTACTCGCGGTATCGTTTTGAAATTCGCGGTGTCGTTTCTTTCCTCTTGCGGCATCGTTTTCAACTAAACGACACCGTCCTAAATAGCCATTAAAAATATTAATTAATGGAACCGCCGCAGTCGGTGCTCGCATTTGGCCGGGTGAATTTTGGTCACTTGCCCATCGGTACCGCTACCAGGCTCTCGCGGCACCGTTTTTAAATCCGCGGTACCGTTTTAACTCTCCGCGGTACCGTTTTAACTCTCTGCGATATCGTTTTAACTCTCTGCGGTACCGCTTGTCTCCATGCGGTACCGATTTTCCCCTTCCAACAAGGAATAAAAATATTAATTAATTATAAACAAAACTCCTTCTCCAACACCAACTAAACGCGCGGTGCCGTTTCTAGTATCGCGGTATCGTTGAGCCTTCTTGCGGTACCGTTTTAACTCTCCGCGCTGCCGCTCGACTCCAAACGACACCGTTTTTTACCCGCGGTATCGAATTAAATGCCGAGACTAATTAATGAGGCATTTAATTCGGGCCAAATTAATTTTAGGTGTCAACACCTGCGCAGACGGGTACGGGGAAATCCGTCAGCCTTTACGGGCGGGGATCGGGATGTAGTTACCCGTCCCCGATGCCAAGCCTACCTCTAACTAGGGATGGCAATGGGTCGGGTTGGGTCGGGTTTTGCCAAACCCAAATCCATGGGTTTATCTTTGAAAAAAACCCGGGGTAAAACCCACCGGGTTTGAAAAACTCAAACCCAACCCAACCCGTTGGGTATCCGCGGGTTCATGGGTACCCACGGGTTTTGTCGTAAAAAATTTACAATTACAAGTTCTTATCAAAATTAAAGTCAAATATCAATCTCTCAATACAAATTATCCATATATAAAACACCATTCTAGAAAATTCAAGCAAATCACAAATTAACTATACAAATTGTTCAACACCAATCTAGAAAACTCAAGAAAATTGAAGCAAATCACAAATTATCCATAAATAACATGTTTAATTGAAAGCTTCTTTCTTTCAATTAAGTTTCTTTAGTCTCCACTCCATAACATCAACTTCATTGTACACAATTAAAAAGAAAAAATTAGACATGTCTCCACAAAAATAAATAAAAATAGTTGTTTAGAATATTAAATATACCGAAAAAATTAATTATATGAGTGGGCGGGTACCCACGGGCCGGGTTTACCTAAACCCAAACCCAACCCAACCCGGTGAATAGTGAACGGGTTTAAACCCAAACCCGGCCCAAAACCCGTCAACACGAATTTTACCCGCGTTGACTGGGTTGGGTCGGGTGGGTACCCGTGGGTTTGGGTTTTGTTGCCATCCCTACCTCTAACAGTGAAAGATGCAATGTCCTTAAATGATCCTCTTTGGCACTTACTTGGAGTTGGACTTAAGTCTTAACACATAATATACCCTTAATAATCAGTGAAGTTCTGATATTATTTGTAATAACTTGACTTAGTAAAATACATTCCAAGATGGATCTTGCATGGTTCCTTACTATTGACAACCGATAGTAGAACTTGATTAATGACAAAAGTTACTATCCAAAATAGGGAAATACAAGTTGGCGTGGCTATATTGACTGATTAGGGAAATGCAAGTTGTAAATTTACTTCCAACGACTCGCTCCACAAGTTTTATCTTTCCACCTCATTGTTTACTTAATTTTCTGGACCATCACTCTCATCACATTTTAATAAAAGAAACCTTGTCGATTGTCAAAACAATTAGAAAAAACTCCTATATTATTAATTTCCGGTACCATACCGACCTGCTTGCTGAAATATCACAATCAAATCCATTAAACCAGAATCCAAAAAATTGGTTCCTATGGAAGCATCATTTGGGATTATCTGAAATAGGGGTGTGCAAACGGTTCGGTTTGCTCTGGACCAAACTTATGAGAACCGCGGTCCATTAGTGAAAAATATCATAGGACCAAGGACCGAATCATCTTTGCATTTAGTCCATTTGATCCGGTTTGGTCCGGTCCAAATATCAGTCCAGTCCATCATTTATTCAGTAATTGTAAAATTCAAGTGGACCAAAAACCGAATTGCATTATACTCAATCTGGTGCGGTCCGGTCCAAACTTCGGTTTGGTCCAATATGGTCAGACAGACCATTGCACACCCCTAATCTGAAATGATCCCTTTAAATTAGCAGAGTGGAGGAAGAAGAACATTGAACCCACCACCCTTCCTTTTTTGCCTTGTTCTTTAAGCGCAAGTCTTTCAGTGGGCAATCTCGAAGCAGCCTTTTCCAGCTTTTGGAAGGATTTCCCATTCCAATATGGTGGACATTGATGGCTTTTGCTTTGCCCATCGAGATCCAGTCAGAATAAGAAAGCAAGAAGGAAAGGTAGAACACCAGAGGGAGAGAGAGGCCAGAGGGATCCGAGACAAATACACTTTGTTGACTAGAACAGTGCTAAAACGGCAGAGCAAAGCAATGATGAATATTAAAACTTCTCTTCACAAATCATGATGATGGGTGGACACATTGGGCTTGGTGGTGAGGGTGTGAATAAGGGTTTCCTTTCCTTTCAGCAGGATCTTCTTAACACACAAACTTCCCCTATGCTTTTACTTTCTTAACTACAACTTTACATTGACTGGCAACTTCCAAAACACCAACCCCCCCAATTTCTTTGGCAAAGAGATCGACTACCCAAACACATGTAACAGATTCCTGAATCGCAGATTGAAAATTTACCAGTCGGTGTGCCAGGCAATGTCTCCAGAGCCAGGTTCTGAGTTTAATGGAAAAATAACACGCCGTGCCTGTGGAGGAACTCGAGAGTTGGATTTTTCATTTCCAGTAACTGCTGCTGCTGCTGCTATTGAGCTTTCACAAACGTCCGGCTAGACACACCATGCAACAACTTCACAAAACCCAGAAAGCTCAACTTCCCGTCGGTGTGCCTAATCCAATCATGCAGAACTGCGTGGACAGGGACAGACGGGCTGAGGCCAAGCTCCTGCACAGGCAGAATCAGTTTTCTCGGTTTAGCATAGGGTATGCTTGTTTCGGCATAAATACAGTTACTCGAAAGGAAAGTCGGCATTAATTAAAGCTAAAACAAACCAATTTCTCTAATCCAACTTATTCAAACAACATACCGATGCCAGTTCTTCAATCATAATGGCCCTGTTCCCATCCTTATCAAAAAGCTCGTAGGCACAACGAGCGTGTTGCTCCCACCTGTCAAGAGCCTCTAGCTGATGGACACTTAATGCAGCTGCACAGAACTCTTCAAAGTCCATCCTTCTGTACTGGAGTGCATTCAGCTGAATCCCACACATATTAACAGTAAATCAAAAGGATGAGTTTCTTGAAACGACACCCCAAAACAGGCTTTTGTTAAATATTTAAATAAAACAATACTACAGCAAGCAACCAAGCCACCTACCGATGCTAGGAAATCAGGGATCCGAGATTCCTTCATAGCATCTGTTGCATACTTCATCAATGCCTACCCAAGAGGGGGAAAAAACTTATGAATATCAAGGTGTGGAGGACAGGATTTTCTCCAAACAATCTGGGAAAAAGGCAACTAACCGATTTGATATTGTCTAAACTTATTGTCCCATTCTTGTTTGGTTCCAACAAAGCAAACTGCTCTTTCAAAAAGAATAGTTCATCCACAGTCAACGTTTTAGATAACGCCTGCCAAAATCAGCACCAAAAGAGAAGTATTTAGCAATTGATGCACCAATAAAAGGATGGATATTCATGCTTTTATCAAGTTAATGCACCTTCAAAGCGGCTTTACGAAGAGATGACGAACGCATGTAAGACTTCATCAGCTTGAATACTATTATATCAAGGGGAACTTTAATAACATCATTAGAGCTTTTAATCCATGGATGACCTGCACAAGAAGATAGTTGTTACACCAATAAGAACAGATTGAAAATATTGTGAAAAACTACAGATGGCAGTTGTCACTACACTTACTCAAGGCTTGGGCAGCAGTAATTCTTTTTCGAGGATCTTTATTCAGTAGTCGTTTAACAAAGTCCCGGGCTTCAGGAGACATGGATGGCCAAGGCGCTTCATCAAAGCTTGGATCGGCTTTTAGGACAGCTCTAAAGATTCCAGATTCGGTCCGTGCCCAAAATGGGCGGCTGCCACATAATAGAATATAAGCAATCACACCTATACTCCATACATCAGCCTCCGTACCATATGCTCTATGTAGAACTTCAGGAGCTACATAATAAGCGCTGCCAACAATGTCATTCAATCTCTCATCTGCACCACATTGAGATCAGGAGGCAGATTAAACCACGGGTACAGAAAGAAACAACCAGGATATAGTTCAAGTTTGTGTTTTGAGTGACAGACCTGGCTTAACGAAGTCGGACAAACCAAAGTCTATGGCCTTCAGTTGCGAGTTCTCATCCTTGGTAGTGAAGAGGAAATTCTGATCCATCAATTAACCACACTTAGACACAAATAAATGAATAGAGAAGGGAATCGAAGCAAAATATTGGCCAAATTGTAACAACAAGAAACTCATTAACATCAGTCAGGAAGTTTGGGATCCATGAATGTGAAAAATACTATATAGAACAAATCAGGTTGCAACATCCTAGAGAGAGATTCTACTAAGTGCCCCAATCCTGAAATGAAGTATGTAAAAGCCACATCTTCAGGAGCAATGTAAGATGCATAATATAAGTATATATTGTCTCTCTTTTAGGCGAGGACAAAGCTCATTCCCCGTGACGCCTTAAGAAAAGGAAAGCAAATACGGACTAGAACAAGTTTCAGATATTCAATATCTGGTGCACTCTGCCCTTAGGAATCTTCCTTACTATATCAGAGTGTTAACAAAACCGACACAACGCAGGATATATCTTGCAACATAATAAGCACTTTGAGAATTCAATTGGCCATAAGATTGTACTAGTTACACGAGAAAGAGAGAACTTTCACCTCAGGTTTAAGATCCCGGTGTACCACACCCTGTAGATGGCAAAATGCAACAACGTTTAATATTTGTATCATTACTGTCTTTGCGTCCTCCTCTGAATATTTCCCTCCCCTGAAGCAAAAGAGCATCCATGATTAGAAATTGACAACAGAATCTCTCTTCTTCAATTTAAAAATAATGAAAACAAAACCAGAAAAAATGGCTAAAGAAAAGACTTATTGGGGAAAATGAAACAAATATAGTTAATGTATGAGGGGAATACCTGGAAAGAATTCTGTCCAAAAGCTCTCCTCCTTCACACAACCTGGAAGAAGATGGACAAGAAATCACAATACACAGTCAGTACAAGCCCATAAATAAGCAATAAAGAACTGAAAAGAATGATCTGCAACAAACACGAAAACAAAGTCAAAGCTACAACAAGGACTTACTCCATTACAATGTAGACATTATCACTGTCCTCGTATGCGTCATAGAATTGCACTAGGTTATTATGTCCAGTCAGTGCTCGTAATATTTTGACCTCCCTTCGCACATCCTCAATTGCAATTGCTGTGGTCATCTAACAAACACAAGGTAAATAAATAAAAATAGTCAGCAAATGAAGCATCCGGGAACTGTAGCAGTACAATTCCAGTCAAGCAAGGAAAACGGCACATCCAAAGATTGCTGTCATAGCATGGTGGAACATATGAGTACATGGGCACATTGGAAGGACAAATATTTCATGAGTGAAAACAGAATAAAGGGCAGCAATAGAGATGAACAGAAGATTCCCAAGCTGATCTTCTCTCTCAGAAGTTGCAGAAGGGAATTAACATCCCCAATCACTAAAAAATTGCTGGCAAAAGATGAGTCGGTCTCCATGCAACATGAAGTTGCAACATGGGAGCCTCACAACCAGAGATGGCTAATCAGCCGCCTTTTTCACTCCATCTCTTTCAGGAACTCGAACCTTGAAGATGGGGAAACCCAGAAACGGCGGTTTCTGCTTCCTTGTGGCTGTGCTGTAGGGATACTAACATACCAAAAACACAGTCTGCCTAGTACAATTCTGAACCAAAAAAAAATCACCGAGCAATTCCCATCTCTTTCGGCAATTTCCCCAGAAAGCCAGTGAGAACCAAGACTTAGATTACTCTTCTAAGTGAATGGACAAATTAAGTGCAAGAAACCCCAATAAGACCTGCAGATCTAGAGTCCAAAACGCCAAAAACAACTCGTCGTTGACTACAGCAAAAGCCAAAAACAAGGATTCGAAGGGTGAAATTCGCTACGGGGAAAACGAAGATCGGCCAAAGAGAGGCATTATTATTATTACCTTCACTTTCGGGATGACCTTGACGGCAACCTGCTGTCCTTTGAGCTCGCCCTTTTTGAATTTAGCTGCGCAAGTGTATCCGAAATGGCCTCTCCCAACCTCATCTCCCAGCTCGTACTTGTTCCCAAAATGCTTAGAGAATCCGAAGCTCTTATCCAGGGCAGCCATCCCATCCGCCTCACTCCCTTCGGGGATCGACGCCTCGTTGGGCTTAACCGAACCATGCCTCCTCGCCAGAACAGCTCGTATGTGCTTCGCCGGAGACGGCGGGGGGAAGGGTCGCTTGAAGAACCTCTTGGGCGTGGAGTTGCCCCCAGTAGGAGCATTCGGAGCCGGAGATCTCGCCGGAGACTTCTTCGAGAAGAAGTAGTGCGCTGGACTGGGACTGTAGAAGGGGAAGAACGGCGACTTCTTGACATTCTCCAGCTCCGTCCTCTCCTTCCTCCTCTGATCATCGGAGGTCAAGCTCTCGTCCGCGCTCGACGCATCCGGCCTCTCCGCTCCGCCGTCGCCGGCCGCGGCGTTGGTCGGCGGCTCGGATGGGGGATAGGAGACGTGGATGCTCCTGTCCGTGGAGGGTTTGGAGGTGCAGAGCCCCATGCTCCTCTCAACTACAAAACTCTTGTCAACAAACAACACAAAACCAAACAAGAGGAAGGAGGAAGGAGGAATCCAATTGTCGTCCCCCGCCAATTCCTCCCAAACTCCAGGCACACTATTTGTTCTCTCACAGAGCTAAAGGAGAAGGGAAGAGAAAGAGCTCCATTACAGAAACCGAAGAAGGGATAATAGAGAAATTCGAAATTGAAATCAGGGTAAGGGGAACGGAATCGCAATTCCGAGAAGGAGCAAACTCAGCTCTTCCTCTTCTTCTTCTTCTTTCTCCTTTACTCTTTCCCTTTCTCTCTCCTTCTCTCGTTTTGGCTTCTTTTGCTGCCTGGGTTGCTTTTTTAATTAAATAAAATATTTATTGGGGTTTGGCGAATGGAGGTTTAGAGAGGAGAGAATTGGAGGAGAAGGAGAAGAAGAGAAGCTTTGGAAGAGGAGAGAGAGAGAGAGGATGGGGAAGGAATAGATAGGGATCGGCAGATGGCGATAAAGAGGAAACGACGGTGGGTTTGGGCTTTTTGGGCTCGAAACAGGAAAGAAAGATAGCCGATTTAATTAAAATAAAATGTTAAACAAATGACGTACTAATTATTAAGTGATGATGATTATTGTTAACTAATTAGTAACAGTCAGAAGGGTCGGGATGGACGGTGGGGATGGTGGTGGCGGACAAGTAAGTACAGCTCGTTAGGTGCACGTGGCGGGATCCTAGACGGAGGATTGCCGAGACCAGTGAGCTCTGAGCTGAGGTAATATATAATTTAATTTGTTTATTATGTTAATACAGCATTGTTTCTGTTTATATCATTTTTGTTTCCCCTTAATTGTCGCGGGCAGGCAGGCGGGCAGGAATTACGGGATGGAAGAAACCGATTCCTTGCTCCTTGATTTCGCTTCGGATCTTTTACGGTTTTTATTTTCACGAAGATTCCCGTATTGTATTATAGTAGGAATATGGATATTTTTAACTATAATTGTTTACGTTAAAAGAATTTGTAACTATCGATCATAATTATTAACTGAACCTAACAGTGACGGAAGAAGATATTTTGAATTTGTGTGTCAGGCGCGATAAAAATAAAATATAAACAAAATAACTCATTTACCGTTGTATTATTTCTCACAAAGCAACAAATTTGTATATTACGAGAGGTTTATGAAATATTGTTGCCATTGTGAGACTTTTGTACCCCGAATAAAAGAGCACTAGCGGAAGCAAACGCATTGTGTGATCAAGGAATAATCTTCAAAGTACAAAGTTGTAGAGTAAGTAGGAAACTCGCAACGCAAATGAAAAAAGCACTCAAGAAGAAATTCTATAAATTAGGAGAATATAAGAGTTGGAAAAATCGATGTGTCTCTCCAACAATAGAGTGCTCCCAGTTTACATCCTTGAAAGTGTTTTATGAGATGCTAAGTAATTGTAAACATCACTCATTAATATACCAATAACAATATATAAGTGATTATTTGGTGAAAAAAGTTATAACAATTGCCCGATATTTTGGATGAAAATCATTTCTCTTGTTGGATAATTTTCCTTTTAAAAGAATACTATTTTTTCTCATTATTTTATTCTCAAATTTTCACTTCCTCCCAATTTTCCTGCAACCCCAATTTTCTCATCCTCTTTTTTAAACACATGGAACTAAGGTTCTTCATATCCAAGTGAAATAAAGTTCTACTCCATAGAAAGAGAGGAAAACATAAATCAAAGCAGTTATACTCATAAAGATGATAATAATATGCTCTGAGATGTCAATCTTCACTCCTGGAAACGCAATATGGGCTTCAATTGTGAGAAATCCACTCCAAATAGCTCCTAGGATTCTTGAACTCTGTTGCTCCAAAAAGTCGAATCTCCTTCTTTTGGCTCGAAACTGCCTATTTACCCCGATACTGGATGAAATACGGGCAAGAATACGGTTGTATTTCACCTCTGCCTGGATTTTGCCCAAAACGCGCATTTTGCTCAAGTTGAGATGCAGAAATCCACAATCGCGTCTGGGAAAATACTAGAAGTATTTTGAAAATTACAGACGGTATTTTGAAAGCACTGGCGGTATTTTTGCTCGTAATTTGCTTTCCTTCAGCATTCTTCAAGGGCTAGTCTCGGCCATAAAAATACGAGTTTGACGTTGAAGAAATACAGTCGTATTTTTGGGAAACTTGACCGTGATTCTCAGTTGATCCTTCATCATGCTCGGCATAAAAAATACCGATAGTAATTTGTGAATTACGGTCATATTTGGTGCAGGGTACGACGATAATTTATCTCCAGAACCCCACATGTCCTCCAAACGACCCGAAACTTGCACCCAAGCCCTCCTTTACATGATAGGACCTGAAATGTGACAAAATAGCAAAACCTAGCGTAAAATAGGCCGAGGAACCACAAATCCAAGCTAAAATGGTTTAGAACCAAGTGTGCAAACATGTGCAAATATGACGCTATCAAACACGTTTTTGTAATACCCATATTCTTGACACCTAAAACATGTTAGTACTTATGATAGATGTTTTTGTACTTTGATGTATGTCTAGACTTCTTGTTCGAGCTATAAGTCTAACGTGGTTGTATTCCGTCTATGACTCCCTTTAGATCATTAAATTTCAATTTACATAGGCTAAATTTGTAATTGATATCATGACTGTGATTTGTTCCTCTTCTCGATCCTTTTGTTGAATGATGCAGTGAATCATCTTAGTCATCGTCTAAGCATGAATGTAAGGGGTTTAAGAACTACCTGTATGTTTGGTGTTTCCTTGGCCATCATTCCTAGATGATATTATCAATGAGAGTAGGGGTGGGCATATGGTTCAGTAAAACCAAACTGAACCTAACTGAATCGAATATAAACCGAAGCGAAACCGAATTAATGTTATTCGGTTCAAAATTCGGAAGAGAAAAGAGCATATTTCGGAAACCAGGGTCCTTTCAACCGAACCGAATTTCCGAATTCCGAAGAAAAACCGAATTATTATAATTGCAAGCTCTAAATGGTGGATTTTTATATTTCTACTTATTATGAGACTTAAATATTTGAATCATGTTAGTATTTTATGACTTATGTGTTGAAATGTTTGATTTTATCATTGATGATGCATATTTATTGTTTACATTAGAGTGAAAAATACTTTAAAAAAGAGAAGATACAAGCTAACCTCACTATTTCGGTTTTGTATGAAAAACCGAACCGAACCGAATTCTAATTCTGTTTGAACCGAACGAACCGAATTATAATTCTGTTCGAATTTGGTTTGATAGAATTCGGGGACCCGGTATGCATAATTTCGGTTTGGTTTGAACCGAACCGACCGAATGCCCATCCCTAAACGAGAGTCAATACTCTTTATGCTCATTTTGCTGAATCTGACTCATCCGAGTCTTCATTATTGCAGCTCCAAGTAGTAGCCATAGCCCTTTCCTGATCGAACCTTTTGTTTGGATAGTCAGATCTCAAGTGTCTCATTTTTTCACACCCCAAACAAGTGACAGTACCATTTTCGACATTTACAACATTTTTGTTCATTTCACTTCTACTGCTAGGTTTACTGTCCCTTCTCATGTCATTTAAAGAATTATCTGCACAAGACTTCTGATTTCTTTTAGAAAGTAATGCAATATGCTCTTCTTCATCTTCTAATATATGAGATTTGAGTGCTAGATCCTTCCTCTTACGAGGTTGATCATTTTCCTCAATTCTTAACACACTCTCTCGAGTAGTTAGAGAGTCTATTAACTAGCTTAATTCAAGCTTAGCAAGATCTTTTGACTCTTCTATAGCGGTTACCTTTGGTCTCCAAGACATTTGTAAAAGAGTTCAAAAAAACTTACTAACTAAGTCTGCATTGGTGTAAACATTTCTAAGAGTCATTAATCCACTTACTATATTGTGAACGTTGTATACATTTAAGGAAGGTTCAAGAAGCCGTTGGACCAGGGGCGGAGCTAGGTAGGCTCTCGGGGGGGGCCGAGAATTTCGAAAGCTACGTGTAAACATTCCGAGCATTTAGAGATTTTCGTATAAACTTAAGAACAATTAAATATGTTATAGTGCACCAAACTAACAAAATAATACTTGGCAGTCCAGCGGATGTAGTGTTTGCTTATTCTTTCTAAGTCTTGGGTTCGAAACCTACTCTTCGCAAATTTTAGTCTTTTAATTAAATACCCTATTAAATAGTTTGCTTTTAAAAATGTCTGTAATTTGTGATATTAAACCGAGTTATTAGTTATTTATTTTTAAATTATGAAATTATAAATTTGTGATATTAAACCGAGTTATTAGTTATTTATTTTTAAATTATGAAATTAGAATGAGTTACATAATATTGACTTGAAATGCATTATTTTTTTTTTTTTTTTTATAAATGGATGCGGGGCATCCTAGCTTTCATTCATAACCAGACGGGGCTCAGAAATCCCCTGGACATCGTACAAAATCCAGTACATCAAGGTGGGGTCACTGACAGGAAAAGAATGGACACCTAGGGACAAATAATGGCCTTGGCTAGCAAGATAATCAGCACACTTGTTACCCTCTCTATACACATGATAAAAGGCAACCTCCCAATCACGCTTACAAAGCGCCTGAATGCGGTCAGTAATAGCACTATTCTGATGATCCGAGTGCGCGTTGCTGCTGAGAAGGTGGATAGCACATCTGGAGTCCAACTTCACCCTCACGCGACGAAATCCCAGATCCCAAGCCAGTTGAAGCCCTTCCGCAGCGCCTCTCAACTCCGCTCGGGTGGTCGAGCAGATCCCCAAGTTACAAGCGAACGCAGCAATGCAACGTCCTAAGTGATCTCTGATCAGACCCCCAGCTGCAGCAGAGGCTGAATCCTGATGAACGGAGCCGTCAGAGTTGAGAGTAACCCACTCGGGAGGAGGAGGCTTCCACGAGATCAGCTCCTCCGTTCTAGCGGGCGGACATGCACTACAAAAAAGACTGGCAGATGTTACCAGACGATTGGCGTCACAAAAGGCTTTTTTTCGTCACTAAAAGTTTTTCCTGACGAAATACGGTCATTAGCGGGTCGTGGGGTAAAGGTCCGTGGGTAATAGTCCAAAAAAAATTGGCGTCATAAAAACTTTTTCTGTGAGGATATATTATCCTCAAAACCCTATTTATCGTTGTTAAAAAAGAAATACCCTTGACGAAAAAGTTTGACGAAAAGTTGTTGTGAGAGAGGAAAAACTATTTCTAAGGAAATTATTTTGTCAGTGTAAGTATTTGTGAGAATATTTTTTTGTAAGCAAAACCTTTTTTTTTTGTTAATAAGACTTTGGAATTTCTATCCCAAAAATACCCTTATGTGTTTTTGTGATGACTTGTTTATTGTCAGAAAAGGTTGTATAATTAGGCAAAATCTTTTGTTCCCAAAATACCCTTTTGTTATTTCTGACAAGTAAAAGTCTTCATGAATGGAGAACTCCTCAGAAATGA